ATCACGTTTTTGAATTTTTTTAGCTAAAAATATATCATATATTTCAACTGACAACTGGGATTTCAGGTAATGATATAAGTCAAAGCGTTGTAGATTATTGTTCAATGGCGTCACAGTCAGTGGCAATGTTTTGAATACAGTTTGAGTGTGATTTTTAATATAGTTAGCTCAGTCTTGCTGGTGGCTAAGGAAGTAACAGAAATGTTGGTTTATGTCACATTTAATATAAAACTCTTGCTAATGATTTTCAGGCCTCCATTCAGATGTGAGCTCATTGTGAGTAACACAAACTTTGAAGAAGACTTCATACGCTAGGTCATCTCTGAAAGTACATCTTATTATCATTAATTAAATCTTACTTTTAACTGATCTTAAAAAAGTTTTCACACACTGGGCAGGGGCAACTACTTTAAAAAAAATTATTCTACAGTTTTCATATTTGTCTAATTGCTAAGTTTGAAGGATTTCAAGATTTATCTTATAATTCATGAATCAAGAAAAAAAATAAATGTAACTTCAGTTCTGATCAATGAGCCAGTACTTCAAGCACTCCTAAAATTACAGGAAAACATGACTCTGATCCTGTCAAATGCAGATCATTGCCATATGTTATAGAAAAGATGCAAGGTGCATAGAAAAATCATTGCTAGATACTATTACAAAAGCATTCTAAAACAGAAGCCTGCTGCTATGTCTCATAACAAATTACTTGAACCTTAAAGGCTGTGTCAAAGCAATGGGAATCAGGGGGACTTCCCAGATTTGGTCTATCTCAAATGCCTGTTGGGCACTTTCCTATGAAAACGCAGGTATGCAGGTACAAATGCAGGAGTGGAATTACACTTCCACAGCCCCTTTGGTCTAGGGCAGTGGGGGGATCAGAATGCAGCCCAAACTGCACTTCTCCTCAATTTATGGCCAGCAGTGGAACTAAATTTGGAGTCCTTAGCTCAGGAAAAAATCTGCTACACCATTGCTCCATCCCTACTCCCCTCACCCACCACCACTTTAAAAGAAACCCTCTACAAATTATTAATATCTTCTCTAAATCTAGTGACTTTCATAATTATGAAGTTCTAAAATTCTAGTGATGAGAGTATAGCCACCTGGCAGACCTAACAGCCTTACACCCACTCTATCACAACTGCACTTGGGCCTCTGAGATCTGGATCTGTTTCTGACAAGAAAAGACAGAGCAGCAAAAGTTGACTATCAATACGTTACTTCAGAAATCTTTATTCTCTATTTGACTATGTGTGTAAAAACACACAAAACATACAAAAATATTATCTAAAGATATCTACATCAACCTGTATTCAAATGGTATCTAAAAAAATTCGGAAAAAAAGAAGAAGACGTAAAGTAACAATGACAAAACAGAAAGGAAGGTGTGAAACATACTGAGTCTGCAAAGAATATGACTGTGCCTATTAGGAACTTTTGACATTCAGCTGACACTGTGGCCGTGGCAACACAATAAAATGCAACCAGGTATTATTAGAAGAGGTGAAAGAAGAAAAGCAAAGCTGGCAAAGGATCTAGAGCATAAGTCTGATGAGGAGCGACTGAGGAGCTGGGAGTGTTTAGCCTGGAGAAAAGGAGGCAGAGGGAAGACCTTATCTCTTTCCACAACTACCTGAAAGGAGGTTGTAGCCAGGTGGGGGGTCAGTATTTTTTCACAGGGAACAAGGGACAGGAAGAGAGGAAATGGCATCAAGTTGTGCCAGGGGAGGTTTAGATTGGATATAAGGAAATAGTTCTTCACAGAAAGAGTTGTCAAACATTTGAACAGACTGCCCAGGGAAGTGGTTGAGCCAGTAGCTACTGAAAAATGAATATACTAGAAGCCTCACATCCTGGATGTTGCGATTGCTGCCTTCCACTCTAAATGACGTCAAGCTAGAAGTGTCATCTCTTAGCCAGCTTGCCAAAGACAAGGGGCAAAACGTGGGTGATATTTTGAATGTCTTTTTGTTGCATCTGGCTGATATCTCAATTCACCTTGTCTGCAACTAGAAGGACAAATAAGCAGTTCAGTTTTGATCTTCTGCCAATGTTTTTTTTCAGATTGGCGGAGGTATGTATCCAGCACCTCTTTTCCAGAGATATCTCTTGGCTGCTAAACAAATTCTGGAAATCTGAATCCATTCATGAACTCAGATTTCTAATGTGGCAACTCACCATGTCTCAAAATGCCCCACTAGCTCTAGAAAGTCATGTACACTGTCCTTAACCTGGCACACATCACTGTAGCTTGGGTTACATATGTCAAAGCTTCGCTCTGCACTATCCAGTAACAAGGGGGGGCTGTCACTACCACGAGGTGTATCAAGATACTAAATTAAGGACACTAGAAAGAGAATGGATGAACTGAAGGAAATGAGCTAAACCAAGAGTGTGATCAGAGACCTGAGGTCATCTAAACCAGTAACTGTGTATCTGTAAGCATTTCACTGCAACTTTTCACCCAAACCGACCAAAAAATATTCTTCAACGTGTTGAAGTATGAGATATTGCTGCTGGATGGAAATTCCTTTATAAAGCAGTTTATAAATAGCTAATTAGTCAAAAAGTATTTTTGAAGTCCATCTCCTGATTCCTTTTTTTCTAGAAAACAGGAATTATTGCAAAACACCTGTCTGAAAGTTTTCACCTACATTCTGTTAATTTCTTTTCTTTTTCCAGACAATACAACAGTGGCTAAGCACATTCAATAAAGGATGAATTAATGAAGCTTATAAACAGCTCCCTAAAGTTTACTGGTCCCATTCTTTTGATCCAAGAAAAAAAGGAGACTTTGGATCTGTCAGATGTTTGGATATTAATGGAAAAGATCAGAGGTGTTTTAAACTTTTCAAGCCATAACTACAATTTGCCCAGTTTAAAAAAGAGTAAAATGACTCTCAAACAGAAGTAAATTGCGGAGGCAAAATCCAGCATAATATTCTATCTCAATAATACATTAAGCTTACTACATGACTAGTAGGGTTCCTGTATTCTATGTGTTCTCTGCTATTGTATGACAGGCTAAAGTGACATCCACTTCCAGAACATGCACAGTAATCCTGCTGGAGACTCAACTCAGTCTTGATAAACACTGATTTCCACCTGTGGCTTAACATATATAGAATACATATAGAACATATATATAGAACCCTCACTGAAATGAGCACACTAGAGGTTGATATTATGAAAAAGACCTTTCCATACAGAGAATGTGAAATATTTATCCATTATCATTTTACAGCTGCCTGTGAGTAGATTTTACTTGCTTTATCTTGAGTGTAGTGGTGAGTAGATTTCTTAAGATGCTCTAACCTTATTCAAAGCTCCTAGATCCTAAAAAACTGGTGAAAATATACATACTTATATATATATATACTTATATATATACACATGTATATATTTCCTGAGATAATTTTCTCGATATTTCCTAAAATGTTATTAATAGTTTAAAATTTAAACACCTAATGGGTAGCTGCTTGGGGGAGAAATAGTGTTGCAGAAGGGTTAAAATGGCTATACATTCCTTTTCATGTCTCCACCCTTCGCTATGGACTTACCGAAATCTCACAAATTCAGACAGAAATCAATCGTTACCCTGGGATGTAAGATAGGCAGTACTTATGACACTGGCAGAGTTTCAGCCATATCATTCTGTGATGCAGTGTTCAATAACCCATGGTCAAAATTGCAACTCACCTTCTGCGTCTTCTGGCCTTGTAAGATCGATGACACCAGGGCCAATTTTTCCATCTTCATTGGGTTTCCCTGTTAACTGTTGGCCTAAATTTTCAAATCTTGTTCTTTCCTGGAAAAGAACAGAAGGAGTCTTAATGCTCCACATAGGATAGTTCTCATTATATGCCTGTGCATATGTGTATGCATTGATACATGCCTTATTTTTTAAATCTGAACAAATAATGAATGCATCTAATTAGAATTTTAGCTCAGGGACAATTTTTTTTTACAGATTCTGAATGTTTGCATTTATGAAAATCAGCTTTAAATGTGAAACATATACAGAAACTTTGAGATTATTTTGATCTGCACTGCCATAATGCATAAACGATTGTACATGCAAATACAAAACACTCTTGGCAGCACACAGTGCTGATTGATGCTGCTCACTTTGCCTCTCCACTTATTTTCTAACTTAAACTGAAAAAGACAATCAACATTTGGGAAACATGAAAATTCAGAAGTGGAAAGAAGAGTTTGTGTTAAAATGCACTGTTATTTTAATGAAAAAAAGCACTTTTCCCCCACTATAAAATTTGAGTTTGCATTCTTACCTCTTTGAAAACACAAGTCTGAATTTTATGCAGAGATTTTGCAGAAGATGAATTTGAAACAAGGAATATTAGAGGACAGAACTGATACTATTTTGTATAAAAATTTAAATTGTACCTCGGTGAAAAGCAAACTTAGGAAGGCCAAGAAAAAAAAAAAAAGGAAGAAAAAAAGGACTGCCCACTCTTAAAAAAACAGAAAGCTTATGGCAGCTGGAGACCTCCATAGGAAACCTGGAACTAGAAAGTGGAAACTGAAAGGTGTTTTATTTGTTAACCCAGTTCCTCAGTCAACTACTGGACAAGGGTATTACAAAAGACAGTGTAATATTGTCTCTCAATAGTAGTCTCTGTAGTACTGTGTATCAGTAGCAAAGTGTTCAGTGGTTATCATTAATTTAGCATTCTCATTTGGAGGAACAGCATGTTTTCCCTCTTGCCTTGTTGTTACCTCTTCAGACTAAACTTGGCATTATGTTGTACTAGTGAATGAATGAAACTTTGTTGTTCATTACTATGAAACAATATTAAATGTCATGTCAGCTTGAATTTAGAGACATGAAATACCAGCTTTCAGCTCTATGAACAGTTTCTCCATGTTATACTTAATGCATTATGCAGAAGTAGAGTGCTGATTGCTGTTCAGTCTATTGTTCAATGACCTAGTTCTGTGCTGTGCATACTAGACATAAGAAGAAAATATTGTGAGTTTCTCTCCTAAAAGATGGTTAGAAACTCGGTAATGTTTTTAAGGACAAAATATACTTGAGGGCCTTGACTCCTTCATTTGCTCCACCCCCAACTACTCCATTCGAATGTGATTATTTTCCCATTATCATTATGTTTCAGCAATGAAACCTCACCAGGACAAGTGAGGAATTGTTTTGATTCCTCATGCTTTTGATTCCTTCAGCCATGGATTTTTTAAAATTATTTTGTGTTTAATTTGTAGAGTAAAAGGAAGCACAGTCTGACACTGGATTGGCAAAACATGCAGCTGAGGCATTTCAGGTACTAACTGCATTTCTAAAAGTTCCTCAGAATCTTCTAACTGTCAAAAAAAAAAAAAAAAAACCAAAAAAAAACCTTCGCATTTTATATTTGTTAACTTCTTTGCTTATTTTCTTCTGCAAAATCCACGGTTGATGAAGGAGCTTACGTATACAGAGGAAATCATAAGAAAAGAAAGGGTTATAAATGAAATGTGACTGCAGAAAGGCATTGCAAAACTAGAGGCCCAATATTTTACTGAAAGGTGTTGTGCAATGTAACAATACACCTGAATCATCACGATGGGATAGGTTTTACTGATAGAGAGAATAAAAAATAAGTTTGTCAAGGATTCTGCGTTCCACTGCAAAGGGCTGATTTGCAGTTGAGATAAAAACAAAGATCAGTGCTAAGAAAACAGCTTTTGGCACATTTATTTTCTCTTCCAAAATATTTGCACTAAAAGCTTTTTCTTAAGGATGTTAATACAGCACCTGCAGTATTCTTGAAAGAACAGCCTTTAAATGTGTTTCAGGAGAAGGAGAAATACCTTTCTGCTATAAAAAATCAACAGACCCTGCTACATATCAATATGCACATTTGGAATATCTTTCTAGTCATTCATTCTCTTTGATTTTACCAGAAAATATTCAGTTACACACACACACACACACAAAAAAAAAAAAAAAAAAAAAAAAAAAAAAAAAAAAAAAAAAAAAAAAAAAAAAAAAAAATAAAAAA